TGATGCCAATATTGTCATGAGACCAATATTATTTCAAGAAGCAAGCTTTGGGTTGAGTAAAAAACGGCTGCGAGAACTTAGTTCGGAAGCAGAGATCTTTCAATCATGGTGGTGGGGTACTGAGCTTTTTGATGGAAATCCTGGTTTCTCCTGAAGTAGACACTGATGTTCATGTTAGATCTAATACTAATAGTAATGTTTTTTCTATAACATACCGATAAAGAGAGGAGTTGGTGAATAGTTGAGTAAAGTCCACACTCATTTGTGACTTAACTGAAGGTGTCGTGACGTCAAGCATCCAGGTTGCAGTATTGTACATGCCTTGATCTTTGGAACCCTTTCACCCGCCTACAGAATAATGCTTTTAGTTTGAGTACCCAGAATTTCCAATGGATATAACTAATGATCACATCCAACACAATCAGCGAATAAAAAAATGTGACTAATGATCACATCCAACATAATCACACACTATATGACTTAGAAAGTGAAATGCTGAACAAATGATTGACAATTAATTGAATAAGAATTGTCAATGAGTTGAATCAGGCGGAGGATATAAAACTGGAGAAGCATCATACCGTGGAAGGTCGCAACCTCAGGCTTCCATCTCCAATTGAGATAGTCTGAACCGCGCATTCCATTCCTCTGGCAATCTGAAGCTTCATCAATATAATGACACGATCCAGGTTGCAACAATGAATGCTTGTCGTCATCCTTAACCATCGATACTTTGAACAAATCGCAGTCTCTCATCTACTCAACCATCATCACCTCCTCCACAGATTCGGTATTGTTTTCCTCAATGGACTCTTCGTTGCAGGAGGCTCCTTCACGTTCCGATCAGGTTTTGCGGTGAGATCAACGCTGTCGGGTTCACTCTCTATTGGCGGAGATGAATGAGAGCTAAGAGAAAACAACAAACCCTAAATATTGATGGCTCCCACTCGAAGAACATGACTAAGGTAATAGTTTTCTAAACAGCCAAAAAGAACGTCAAAGCTCATTATATACACCATAAAACCCATATTCAATCGAGAACAGCCACAAGAAATCTTGAAAGGAGGAAGACACATGGCAGTTTTTTCACTTTTCTACTATGATGTGGCACTCTCTGAGAAGAGAGTGTTCTCTTTTATATAGATAGATAGATGTTTTGTTTCTCAAACAAAAAAAGATGATATATATATATTTATTTATTTGATCCAACAAGAGTACTATTACAATATTTCTAAAATATGTACAGCACACATTCATTTGAGAAGAGGAAGACAAATATATGTATGTTCCATTCTACAAGTCTGATGATTAATTCCCTAGTGACGATGACAAAATATAGATTTTCCATTCTATAGTAATGTAAAATCAAGCTAGATTCAAACATGGTTTGAAATAAGAGAGCTGCTCATTGTAGCTAAACAGAATACTGCTGCCAACTCCATAGATCCGCGGAATCAAAACCATTGATAGACGCACTAGTTCCGCCACAACCATAAACAGCCTCATGATGAGGATGGTGTTCCTCTTCAAATACCAACATTTCTTGCCACACCAATTGCATGTCACTCTCTGTGGACGAACCATGATGATGATTCTCTTCCTCTTCCTTCATCGAGGTCGTTAAACTAGGACTCTTGAGCTCTTCAGAATCCATGAGGATCACATCATGATGAATACAAGGCTTGATTATGGGTGTTACTTCGTTGGTGTTACACGTGTGGTTTCCGATATATGTGATGCTGAACAACCTGGGTTCGGACTCTAGCTTCTGCACTTGCTTTGTTGCCTTGCACCCTTGAGTGTATTTATGTGTGCACCTAAAGTAACTTCTGCAAAACATTAATGAACAAAATAAAATTTTAGACAAAATGTATATTCCACAACCAATTAAATCCAGACAACATATGGTAGATATAAATGCGGTCCATGTATAATAATGCACCACCAACATGAATATTTATACACACACGTCTCATTCGTATTGTGGATGAATATATACGTAAAAATAACCTTGGGAATTTGGCATTAAGAATCTGTTTTTGTCCATATTTCCTCCAAGAAAAGGTGTCCTCAAGTATGGTAGACTCTACCGTCCACGTCTCCGATTTCTTCCTGCTCAAAATGTTGTAAACTTATAAATAACAACATTTGGCTTTGTATGTAATTATTAGTTTTGCAACCAAAGCTAAGCGTCTTGTTTGTTTGTGGACCAACATCAACACTAGATCTTAAATGATCGCCTTCTTTATTAGTACGAATCCAAGTCGATTCATTTATATTGTATGATCATTACCAAAAAAAAATAGAATCAGAATTGGTTATATTAAACTCTTTACCACTATGGTAAATAAGTAAAAAAAGGAGATACGACCTTAACCTAGTGGTTTTTACTAATATCACAACCGTATCATACTTAAGTCGGGTTCAAACTCTTGCGTGTGTGAATTCTAGTCGGTAACAGAAAAAGTAAGCGAGAAGGTGAAACTTACTTTCTCTTGTAGCATCCTCTTTTACCCTTAACTGGTCCCAATCTTTTCTGACTATCGCCAGAATCCTCAAGCTTGCCGTCGTTGTCGCAGGAAGCATTTTGAGAGCCTTCGATGGTGGTGACAAGAGCAGAGGGAGAGCTGGGTTCGAAGGAATCAAGAGTAGAGATTGTGTCATTGATAAACCCCAAGATTTTCTCCACGAGATCCTTCGCTGGACTTAGACTGGCCGACCCGTGCTGAGAGAGGAGTTGCTGAACCTTAGTGGTCATCTCGTGGCCTTGAACGAGTTGGTCCATAACTTTTAGCTTTATTGCTTTGTTATTGCTATTAATATCCATTTTGGTGAATCTGAGGGAGTTTTGGGTGTGTGTGTTTTAATGTTTTCCTCTTTTGGTGTGGGCTCTATGATTAAAGGGAAGAGAAATGTGTGTGTAAATATAATGGAGAAAAGAAACTTGTAATGATGAGATCTTTTTTTCTTTTGTTGGATTGCTTTGATTTTTTTGGAGAGAGGAAGATGTAAGGAAATGAGGAGTAGAGAGATGGACAAAGACAAGAGAATGCGATGAACTTATCCATTTTTTTCATCTGCTTATGGGAGCTTCGTGACGTTGCATTAGTGACATGGCAATGATGTCACTCGTCCCTTAGTGAGAAGGGAAAACAAGTTTTGCTTAGTTAGGGTTATTCAATTATTTCTATAAGCCTTGGATCAAAATTCGTATCTCATTGATTTTATATGGTTTTTGAAATAGAATCCAACTCGTATTTGATCTAGTAAGATAGTGATTACATTACTTGAATTTATTTAGAATAATAAGTTTTTCTTAGGGTCACATTTTGAGTAGCACTTTTATATATAACAAGTACTAGTACTCTAATTATATCTGTCTAAAAACGTTTGTTTACTGCCCCAGCTCATCCAAGTTAGACTGATTACGCTGAAAGAATCATATGAATAAAGGTTATTTTGACTCTAGTCTAGCTTTAACTCATTCGCTTTCCAGTTAGACTAACCTATCAGCTCACTTCAATAATATAAAATGCGAGTATCAAATCTATACTTTTCTACCCAATTTTATTTTCTAGAAGCTATTTTATATTAGTCTTAATTTTAATATAAATTATAATGACACGAACGCTTTGAATGAAAAGTTTTTTTTTCAGAGTCACTGTTATTTTTCGGAAAAGTTTTTGTTAGGCATATATTCGCTTAATATATAATATAAGTTAGCTTCGTGAAAAGGCATAACTATTTATCATGCTTTTTTATACGTATTTTTTTATGAGGTAGTTTTGCAACAAAAATATGGTTATATATTGATCAACATATCAAGAATACAAATTAATAAATTTGAAACTAACTATTGACTAATGGCATATGTAATAAGAGTAATTATTGTGTTTATCCCCTACGGTGAATCTCTAAATGCACCAACCAATAGAATTACATTATTTTATATTCAACATTAAAAAAAAACAAAATATTGTCGAGTTATATTATATTTTAAAAATTTTAAAATAAAAATAAATAAAAAATAATAGTAGTTGCAAAAACAAATTAAATTTTTTTAATACTTTTATCAAAACACTAAACCCTAAATCCTAAACCTTAAAACCTTTTTGTAAACCCTAAACCCTTGGATAAATATTTCATTAAAAAATATATTTTTAATACCGTCAGCAAAACACTAAACTCTAAATCCTAAACCCTTGAATAAACTTAAACCTTGGATTAATCATAAATCATAGGGTTTAAGATTAATCCAAAGGTTGAGGATTTACCCAAGGGTTTAGGGTTTGAGATTTAGGGTTAGTGTTTTGCTGACGATATTCAAAATATTTTTTAAATTTTTTTTTTGTTTGTAATTACTATTATTTTTATTTTAAAAACATAAATAACTCGATAATATTTGTTTTTTTTTAAATAATGAATATGAAACAATAAAATTTTATTGGTTGGTAAACCTAGAAATTCACTATAAGTGGTAAATCCAAGAATTTTTCATGTAATAATGTACCAGTAGCGTTAAAAGGACAAAATATTTTATAAAATTGCAAATTTAGGAAATGATTTTGGTATTTGTTATTTTGGTGGATAACTACCATGTACAGTACAACACCATCAGAAGCCAATAACTCCTCTCCACATTCGTGAGCAGATTCATAAAGGAGATCGTTATAAATACTCAAAAGCGTCGTTGTTGTGTCTCACCTATTTTCATTAATTCAAAAAGTTGGTTCTCTAGCCAAAGTTAAATGCAATTTAAAACAGCTGGCAAATTTATTATTTGAAACTTTTTTTTGGTAAAATTATTATTTGAAACTTACTATATAAAGTCGTATTCGTCGACGACATGATTGGAGTAAAATTTATTAGGCCAGCATTTTTGTTTACAGACCCGTCCCCGCAACGCAAGTAAAACATTTGCTTTAGGCCACTAGATATATTGAAAGATTTAGGATGTTGGTCTGGTCTCATAGTTAACTAATTTGACTTTGCATAAGCGTATGCCCCTGTTCAACGCCCCCTATCCTTCTATTTTAACGGTATTTAATTATTTTATAGATTTTTGTATTTTTTCAAGAGTGAATTTGATGAATAATCACAAAAGATCAAAATATTGAGAATATAATCATTTGAAGAGAGAATAACAATTTGGGTCACATTTTGACTTTGTCCAACAGAATAAGACACTTTGGGCTACTGAGGCATATTATCGATGGCAAAAGACCAGCCTGCCCCTAATTTGGACAACGAGATGGGTTTTAGTTAGAGTGTTTAGTTAGGTTTTTTTTTGGGTTTTGAATTTCAAAACTGGAACCTTTACTTCCTCGTGTTTCTGCATTTGACCTTTTTAGTCGTTTCATTTTCTCTCCCCTAACTTTGTTCTTATCGCCGCAGAAACTTGGAGAGCAAAACGCGGAGTTGACGATTTCAGATTTGTGAAGATGACGACAAGAAAAAGAAGAGAAGGAAAAGACCCGATATCCGGTGGATCGTGTTTTTAAGAAATGTACTTTTTCTTGTTGTTTTGGTTTATTTATGTTCTGTGTTGTTTTTGAAATCCAGGTTGATGCATCCGTTTCGGGGGAGGTGAGGACTGTTGATGAGTCTCATATAAGTGGGAAAGAAATGGTAACCTATGTGAGTGACTCATCCCCGTGTCCAAGGAGCAAGAAACACAGGCCGATCGAGTCAGAAGCAGACTTGGCGGCTTTGTTATTGGCGAAAGCCCCATATAGCTTAGAACAGATTGTGCCAGCTGAGGAGGATGTTGATTTTGGCTATTTCAAGCAGGTGTTGCTTGCAAACCCGAAAGTGTAAGTAATAACATTTGAGAATGGTTGATGTTTAATGATGTTGTACTAATACCTTGTTATTTTTTTTGCAGGTTGCATTTGGGGGCAGGCAAATATGATTTGGATAATGAATTTTTCCTGGAGTTGGCAACCCCGAGAAAATGGGTGTCAAGCAAGGTATGGTATAGGTAGCTTAAATGGCTTCCATTACGTTTTGGTTATTTATAATTTTTTTCTGTGTTTTGGCAGCATATGGAAGTGTTGGTGGACTATATCAGTGAGAAGCATGCTGATGTGTTGAAGGAGAACAGAGCAATGTTTGTATCACCTTGGTTTATCTCACAGCTGGGTGGGAAATCGCGGGCGTTTAAGGCAGCCACATATAAGGGGCGAGTTTTTTCGGACCCGAAGCTTGCTGGTTATTTAACTGAAGAAGGGAAGAAACTTGGGGTGGACATAGACTGGCTGTACACTCCTATGTTCTGGGGGACCAATCATTGGGTTGGGTTGCGCATTAGTATTACCGAGTGGAGTGTGCTTGTCTATGATCCAGACCGAAGTCTTAGAGAACTGGATGATGTCATGGAGTTAATGACACCAATAGCTCAGATGCTTCCTTACATAGTACGGAAAGCCTGCCCCGTTGAGTATCTGCAAGGGAATGGGGTTGTACCTTTTGGTGTTCAGTTGATGGCTGATGGTTACCAGAACACACGCAGTGGTGATTGTGGGCCTGTGGCTATGAAGTTCTTAGAGTTGGCTGCAACAGGTGTTGAGGAACCAGATGTAGAGGACATCACTGATGAGTTGGTTGACATTTTCAGGAAACACTATGCTATGCATGTGTACAAGGATTGGGTTGTACCGTTGTACATGGGATGAACTAGTAGGGTTGTACATGTGTTGGTTTTTGTTTTTTGTGATCTCGGTTGTTTCGGGGGCAGTGTTTGTACTATTTTCTGTTGGTCTTGACTAGTACTATTTGCTGTAGTTGTTTTAACGGCAAGGTGGTAGGGGGGATTGTTTTTCATTTACTTGGTTGTGTGATGGTATTGTAATGTAAAACCTGGATAAAGAAGCTTGTAAGTTGGTACTCTAAAACTTCCAACATTATAATGTGCTTTAAAATCTGTTTAGCTTCTAAAGTAGTTTGAGAGAATTGATTGTATTGTGTAAAGTAGTGTGTGTACATCGGTACATGAGAAAGAGTTTCGTAGATTAGTGAATTTTACATGGATAACTGGATTGTACAAAAAATAGGTTAGTCTGTTGGACCTCCTTTGTACACGAAAGTTGATTGTACAGACTAATAGCCCATGTACCAATTAGTTGCATAGTTGTTACACTCTTATATGAGATGTTTGTACTGACTGATAGTCTTTGTAAGAAGTTGTTTTATATTGAATTTGAACTCGTAAGTAAAATTTTACAATGTAATAGGGAAAGGTTGTGAAAGAGCAAATTAGTAGTTTGCAAATGATTGTACACTATAATAGGGTAGGAGGAAATTGACTTGTTAGTTTGAAATCTAAGAGGTTGATTGATTAGAAACTGATGATGAGAAACATTTAACAACATAGTCTAGTTTAGCAGAACAATTGTACATAACTTATAGACAACAAAAGGTACAACAACCATGTTTTTTAGGCTTCTGAGCTTAGGACAGGAAGAATACTAAGGAGGAAGACACTATGTACATAACTTATAGACAACAAAAAGTACAACAACACAGGCAACCATGTTTTTTAGGCTTCTGAGTTCCATGTGGGCATCTTTAATTTCCTGTTCGAATCCAGAGATCTCGTTTTTCAGCGTGCTAACCAGACTGCAGCAAGCACGGTTTTCAAGTGTAAGATTCTCGATCTGAGATTGACAGACCTGCACGACTTTTTCCGTGTCAACTGAAGCCATTTGAAGACCATCGATATTGAATTTGATGTCCTCGATTTCCTCAACCATACATAGATCCGTCCATTTGAATATGTGGTTAGGATTGTTCTACAAGAAGAAAGAAGGATAAGAATCAGAGATAATGTGAAGGTTGAGAAGGTCAATGTGTTAACGTAATTGGGAATACCAAAAATTGAGAACTTTGAAATTGGTATAATTGTGGAAAATGTTTACCATCGAAGACATACCTCATTGCCATATGGACAACTGTGAAATAAGCGGCCAGGGTTGGTGGGGGTTTTAGAAGTGCGGCGGGAAACACGGGCGCCACATGGGCAGTGCGTCGGGAATCCTCTGTCTGCCATGGAGAGTGTCCCTTTTGGTCAGAGGATGGGGCGTTTTTTTTGAAAGGAAGAGGAACCCTAATTTCAATGGTGTGTGCCCGAGCCTTATTTATTAGGGTAAAGAAGGGGTTTATAAGTGGTCTAGCAAAACGGTGCTGTATTAATAGAAAGTCCCCGTCTTGTACGGTTAATTGGCGTACATGTCCGTGTTTGAAAAAGGTGTACACATGTACAGTATATAGATAGTGCATGAGCAAACTGGCTAACGTTGCGGAAAATTATAGCAAATAAGAAACAAGCGTTATACTTCTCCCTAAAGGATCAACCAATACATGTTCGTAATGTTTTGACATGAAAACACAAAAAATAACAGAAAGGTACAATCAAGAAGCTGATCCTTGGTGAATTCGCTATCCAAAAGATGATGCCCGTGGATATAAGATTCACCACAGTCAGATGGGCCTAACGCAGCGAGTGCGATTGTGACCAGTGCCACCACAACGTCCACATTTGTTTGGGATTGTTTTTGTTTTCTTGGGAGGCTGATCAAATCAGATAGAAAAAAAGTAAGTACAAGAATGAATATGACAATAGTCTATGAATAGGAGGGAAATGAAGTTACCTGAACCTCTCCTGTGGAAGGAATCCTTTTGTCCTTAGGTCTGCCAGAGGGGCGGCGGGTTTTAGGAGGGCAAATGGTGAGATCTTCGATATGACGGGGTATTTGTATGTCTCCTAAAGGAGCCTCAGGGGAGATAACACCAGAGTAAGTCTCTCTCCAGTGATGTGTCTTGTAGAATTCAGAAACCAATTGGTTGTAGGGGAGACCAATTGAGTCAGCAGCCAAAAGAGCATGTCCACATGGGATTTTAAGCTTCTGGAACACTTGACATGTACAAGCTTTTGTATCCAAGTGGACAGTGTTGTGGTGACCAAAAAGGCCCCTAACTGAATAGCTCCATTCCTTTGTTTGAGAGATTTTGC